TTAGAGCAACCTTAGACTTAGAGGACTTGTAACTTAGAGCTACAACTTTAGAGCTACAGTCTTAGAGCTACGATTTTAGAGCTACAATCTTAGAGCTACGATTTTAGAGCTACAATCTTAGAGCTATGATCTTAGAGCTACGATTTTAGAGCTACAACCTTAGAGCTACGGTCTTAGAGCTACGATTTTAGAGCTACAATCTTAGAGCTACGATTTTAGAGCTACAATCTTAGAGCTACAGTCTTAGAGCTATGATCTTAGAGCTACGATTTTAGAGCTACAACCTTAGAGCTATGATCTTAGAGCTACGATTTTAGAGCTACGATTTTAGAGCTACAATCTTAGAGCTATGATCTTAGAGCTACGATTTTAGAGCGACGATCTTAGAGCTACAATTTTAGAGCTACAACCTTAGAGCTACGAGCTTAGAGCTAAGATCTTAGAGCTAAAGATTACAAGAAGCATAAGCACAACGAACAATTGAAAGATTGGATAAAGATAAGGGAAATGTTTTGTGTATGGAGGAGATTGGAGGAGATCAATGTTGGTGTGGACTGGGGGAGCAAGCTGTGGCAAATGGGGCTCCCCAATTCTCCCCCTCCCCCCTTTCCTTCCTCTTTTCCCCTTTCACCCCCAATGGACCCTTTCTGGGCCCCTCTTTCGTCAGTCGGTTTGTGATTTTCCCGAAACTCTCTCTTCCCCTTCCTTTTCTCCCTTTTTATTCTTTTTCTAAAACTTTTGGACCCAGCCTTTACCCTGAACCCTTTGTTCTTCTTGTTCTTCTTGTCTTCTTGTTCTTCTTGTTCTTCTTCTCCTTCTTGTCCTTCTTGTTCTTCTTGTTCTTCTTGTTCTTCTTCTTCTCCTTCTTCTCCTTCTTTCCTTCTTGTCCTTCTTGTTCTTCTTGTCCTTCTTCTTCTTGTAGAATGTGGTAGTCACAAGTCAACCCTTTCTCTTAACTCTTTCAGCTCTCTTCCCCCTTTTTCTTTCCTTTTCATGTTATTTTTCCTTTCCTACATGTCATGTGTGATTCCTCTTAAACTTGAACCTCAACTCAGAGTCACATTTGGGTACTCACTCGGTTTTTAAGTGAGAAAAATCTTGGAGAAAAAATTTGGAGAGCTTTTTGTTTAAAAGCTCGGAAATTAATCAATTTTACGCAAAATTACATTAGTTATTCGAATTTTCAAAGAAAATTTCAACAAACAAAGTCTTTAAGAGATTCAGAATAAGAAAAGAAGACAAGAAGAGGATTTAGAAAGACTCAAGAGCTCAAAGCTCAACGGCTCAAAGCTCAACAGCTCAAAGCTCAACAGCTCAACAGCTCAAGAGCTGCTAATAGTAAGCGTTGGTTCTTGTTTTGGTTCTTGGTTTGGGTCATAGCCAGTTCTTGGACAAGTGAATGGTCAACTGATAAGCTGGAAATGGACAGAGGCTGATCTTCGATATTTATTGAATAACAAGAAGAGATTACGGTTAGAACAGTTGACTCAATTGTTGAACAATTGTTAGACTGTCCAAAAAATCTTTTCATTTCTTTTCATTTCCGTTTAAAACCAACAAATGCACCAATTGAGCTACGGTTTTTAAACAATCGGTTTTTTTCATTAGAAAAGTCAATTATTTTTCTGCAAAATAACATTAAAACGGTTTTAAAATGTCTTATTTTTGGATATTTTTGGGAGCTTGAAGCTTTGAAGCTTTTTGGGAGCTCGAGTAGTCAAAAAGGCGATCGCTTGATGACACTCGATGACTCGATGCTACCGTTTAGACACTTTAGCTAAAGAAACCTATCTTAGTGTCAATAGATAAAAGATAGAGCATAAAAAGTTATTTATATAGTCAAATTTTCAAAGAAATTCATTCATTCAATTTTTTCGTAGAGGTTTTTATAGATTTTTTTACGAAAAAAACCCGTTTTCACTGTCGAATTTGCTTGAAAATGAAACGAAATTGACTTTAAAAGATGGGAAATTGACTTAAAAGGCTTAAAATTGACTTAAAAGATTTAAAATTGACTTAAAAGGCTTAAAATTGACTTAAAAGATACGAAATTGACTTAAAAAGATACGAAATTGACTTAAAAGATTTAAAATTGACTTAAAAGATTTAAAATTGACTTAAAAGATACAAAATTGACTTAAAAGATTTAAAATTGACTTAAAAGATACGAAATTGAACAATAAAACAACGAAATTGACCAATAAACACTTTTTATTTAGAAGAAACTATAGGTTAATTGGTGAATTTGTTATTTTTCAACGGAAAGATGAAAAGCAATGAAAAAGACTTTTTGCACAGCCTAATAAACGAAATTTTGTTAAGGATACGGAAGTTTTCGTTTTTCTCAGCGAAAAATGGACGCAATTTTAAGCCCTAGGACAAATTTTTGATGTAAACAATAGTCGCCTGTTGCGAAAGACGGCTAATCCATCGGAAAATGACACTTTTTTTTGGGTAGAGGAATGGAATTATTTGAGAAAAGTCATTAAAAATTAGCTTTTTTTGGAATTGGACTGGGTTTTATGATAGAATAGAAATCTAGATCTAGGTCTAGATCTAGGTCTAAATCTAGGTCTATTTCTAGGTCCAGATCTAGGCCTAGATCTAGGTCTAGATATAGGTCTAAATCTAGGTCTAAACCTAGGTCTATTTCTAGGTCTAGATCTAGGTTTAAATCTAGGTTTAGGTCTAGACCTAGGTCTAGATCTAGGTCTAAATCTAGGTCTATTTCTAGGTCTAGGTCTATTTCTAGGTCTAGGTCTAGGTCTAGGTCTATTTCTAGGTCTAGGTCTAAGTCTATTTCTAGGTCTAGGTCTAGGTCTATTTCTAGGTCTATTTCTAGGTCTATTTCTAGGTCTAGATCTAGATCTCGATTATTCGTTTTCTAAAGGATGCGCCCGGGAATAAGCTACTGTACATTACCGTACTCCGGTCTACCATAATCTGGACTATTGTACTTTGGAATACTGTATTCTAGACTATTGTACTTTGGACTACCGTCCTTCCAACTATCGTCCTCCGGCTGTTTTTTTAAAAGGTTATTTTAAGTTATCTATCCACTCTAGATTCGGTACGTGCCTTAAACTTTGCCAAAAAGTGTTCAAAAACCAACACATGAATAGGTTTTGAGTGAAAAGAGCACACAAAAAAGCAAAAAAGCAGGTAAAGACTGCAATTTTTGAAAAGGAAAGGGTAATTTTTGAGTTTTCAAAGAACTGACGTTTGACATAAAAGGGAAAACTTCGAGAAACGTCTGCTTTTGCTTATTATTAGGAGTTCTAATGCTTTGCCAAAAAACTAAGGCTTTTAAATTACAGTATTCTAAAGGAATTTGTACTTTGAGGCGTACATTGAGGCTGCTTTGAGGTGTACTTTGAGGTGTACTTGGAGTGTACTTTGAGGCGTACTTTGAGATGTACTTTAGGTGTACTTTGAGGCGTACTTTGTACCCAAAAAGAAGAACAGAAAGATCTAGTCTAATAACTTGACATCAACTTCAAAAAACGGATAATTTTCAAGATTATCAAGCGTGGATTCAAAGTTTTTAATTGTCAACTTAGCTAACGATTTCAGTAAGCAAATAAAGTACAATAAAATCGACGTCATTTCGATAATGGAAGTGAATCTTTGCAAGTGGTTGGGGCAAGAGTTCTCTGACGTGAGTGACGTCATTCCTCAATCTCTTCTCCGATTGCGTGTCATCGAATTGTTTGAAATCATCCATTCATCCAATCTTTCTCTCTCTTTTCACACAAATCATTTCACTCACTTGGAACAATCACATTTAGTTTTTGTGGCTTTTTTAGTAAAGGAAAGGAATGAAAAGACTTTCTGGACAGCTTGGTTTTGGTTTTGGGAAGTTTTGTTGACTACATTGTTGACTGTTGACATTTGTTGACTATACATTGTTTAGATAAGACTATGTAGATTTGTAGATTTGTAGATTTGTAGATTCAGCTTCTTTGTTCAGCTTGAGCTTTCGCGTAACTTTCAGCATTGGAGCACTGATTTCATTGGAGCACTGATTTCTCTCCTTACCGTAATCACTGCAACAGAACATTTACAACAAAACGCCCACTCCCGAATTTGACTTGAGTTGAAAATACTGAAGGAATACAGTAATCCCTGTACTCTCTTCTCTTAGATAAAAAGATAATGATAAAGATAAAGATAGAGATAAAGATAAAGATCTTAGATAAAGATGAAGATATAAAGATCTACATATTAAAATCGATTTTACATAGTAATTATCTTGTATTTCTTACAAGGGAACCTTTCCAAGTTACCCGCGAGTTACAATATGAGGTTCAAAGCTAGACTACGCAACACCAAAAAGCCTGAAAATGTACGTTCAGAAACTGTTTTCAAAAAGCGCTAATCGTCAAAGCGCAAAAAGTTATAGCCATTTGAATTTCGAAAAAATAAAGGCTTTTGAAAGGCTTTTGAAAGAAGGCTTTTGAATGAAGGCTCGAATTTCTGGCTCACTGATTTTTGTCGGGGAAAGGCTTTCCTTTCGCCATCTCAAAAATCAGCTCGTAGCCCCTAGTGGTCAATGTGGCCCCATAGTGGCTCCATGGTGGTCAATATGCTTGCTGGAACTAGTGCTTAGTGGAACGCTTTCAAAAAAGGTTCTTTAATGTTTTTCATTAAAAAAGCAAAAAGTTTGATTGCTAGTGGAACCGAATCAAGATCCTGTGCTAGTGGATCAAGCTCCGACTGCTAGTGGATCAAGCTCCGACTGCTAGTGGATCAAGCTCCGACTGCTAGTGGATCAAGCTCCGACTGCTAGTGGATCAAGATCCTGTGCTAGTGGATCAAGCTCCGACTGCTAGTGGATCAAGTTCCGAGCACAGGCCTACTAACCACTAGGCTACGTGCTGGCTTTTGGGATGGCGAAAGGAAAGCCTTTCCCCCTGAACGTACATTTTCAGTTTCTCATATTGTAACTCGCGGCTAACTTGGAAAGGTTCCCCTGTTAGCTTTAATTCCCCAAAAAAAACCTCATCACAAGCGGCACAGCGCGGCTTGTGCAACTCGGCGTAGTGACGCTCGCAGAAGATGTCCCCATCCCGGACACAATACGTCAAATCGACCAATAGCTGAAGAAATTTATGTGAATTAATTTGATTCTCATAGTTTTGAAGGGGCTGGCTTGTACAGAGACGACTCTGAAGTCACAAAAAGCCCACTCCGTGATTTAGCCTTATTTTTACTAACTGCTGACCGATTTAAGCTAACGCATCGTTTAGATGAGTCAATATTAAGTATTAATTGTTGATAGATTCACTACAGCTCATTGTTTTACTATTGAATTTGCCAGCACTTGAATTTGACAGCAATTTCAATAACTAAACGGAGTTTAAGAGGCAATTTTCCCCGTTTACCCGAAATTCCTTTGATCTTTGCCGACAACCCTTTGATCTCGCCGCTAACCCTTTGATCTTACCGCCTAATTAAGTTTTTCAACGTTACTCAAGAACGGCTAAAGATTTTTCATTTCTGGCTTTACAGGCCAACAAGCTGTAGTCGATTACATATTGTCCCAAAAAATCAGACCGAAATTCCCACTTAGACTCGAGTAATGAAGTGAATGGACGCACACACACACAAACTTTGCCTCTTTTTGCTGTAAAGCTATTGCTGCTGATGCTGATGCTGCTGCTGATGCAGCTATTGCTTTACCGTAAAGCTATCTTGGACAATAACTGTTTTGAAATAAAATAAGAAAGCATTTTACTTATAGTTCCTACCTGATCACAAGTGCGGCAAGTGAAGCACGCGGGATGCCAGCCGACGTTCTCGCCGAGTTTTGGTGCCACCACCGCCATCTCGTTGCGATCGAGGAGACCACGACATTTTTTGCATTCCTAGAAATTTTTGATATAGAAATTTGATTCATGTTAGTTTTGATTTATTGTTAAGAAGAAATTAGACGAGATTAAGTCTCTAATTTAAGCAAATTTTTGGCAATTTAATCCGATTTCTTATGTAGATTGTTTAATGAAAATATTAGGTTGATGCAAAAGTCTTTTTCATTTTTTTCGTCTGCCGTTTCAAGCCAACAAATGCACCAATTAAACTACGGTTGATTTCATTAGAAAAACCAATTATTTTTCTGCAAAATAACATAAAAACGGGTTTAAAAATATTTTAATGCCTGGATTTTCTTGAGAGTATGAAGTCGGGTAGTCAAAAAGGGCTAACTCGATGATGCGGTTTAGACACCTTAGCTAAAGAAAACCTATCTTCGTGTCAATAGATAAAAGATAGAGAAAAAAAACGTTTGATATTTTAATAATAATAATAATACTTTATTCAAACGATAAAGTGAAAGAAATCATAGAGAAATGCACAGTGATACTTAATCATACAATACATACTGAAATCAATAAGCCAATTACTTACGGCAAAGAGCCACTAGATCTAAAGCATCGATACGTTTCTTGAATATGAAAAGCGACTGAATTTCTCGTATGTCGTTTGGGAGCAAGTTCCATAATCTAGCGGCTCTAACGGGAAATGAATTTGATAAAGAGGCATTGGAAGCAAAGGGAATTTGCAAAAGGAATGAGCCACTTCTGGGCCCTGACCGCGGTTTAAATTTGAAAAAGTTTCGCCAAAATTTCAGAGAAATTCATTCAGCCAATTTTTCCGTAGAGTTTTTTATAGATTTTTACGAAAAAGGCGTTTTTCACTCTCGAATTTGCTTGAAAGTGAACCGAAATTCATTTAAAAAGATGCAAATTGAACAAAAAAACACTTTTTTTTTATAGAGCAAACTATAAATTAATTGGTGAATTTGTTACTTTTTAACAGAAGTACGAAAAAAATGAAAAAGACTTTTGCATCAACCTAATAGACAAAAGAAAGACAACAAAAAGTTGGTATATTTTTAGAGCAATCTGTTCAGCTAATTCTTTTGTAAGAACTTTTATTGAGTTGTGCGAAAAACGTTTGAATTTTCTTAGAAAAAGACTCAGATTGGCGTAAAAAAAGATAGAAAAGTGTATGATAAACATTTTCATTTTCTATTTTATTCTCTATATTATTCTCTATTTCATTTTCTATTTCATTTTCATTTCCTATTGATGAGTTTCTCATTTCTAAAGTTTTATATAACAAGTGTCCACTATCAGCAAACCTAATGCTTAGTATTGATCGCTGGAAATACTTTGAATTACTCTAGAGTTACTGTAGAGTTACTCTAGAGCTACTCTAGAGTTACTGTAGAGTTACTGTAGAGCTACTCTAGAGTTACTAGAGCTACTCTAGAGTTACTAAAGCTATTCTAGAGTTACTAGAGCTACTCTAGTGCTACTCTAGACTTACTGTAGAGCTACTCTAGAGTTACTAGAGCTACTCTAGAGTTACTAGAGCTACTCTAGAGTTACTAGAGCTACTCTAGAGTTACTAGAGCTACTCTAGAGTTACTAGAGCTACTCTAGAGCTACTCTAGACTTACTGTAGAGCTACTCTAGAGTTACTAGAGCTATTCTAGAGTTACTAGAGCTACTCTAGAGCTACTCTAGACTTACTGTAGAGCTACTGTAGAGTTACTAGAGCTACTCTTTAGTTACCTTATCTTTTTCAACAATTTAAACAAACCATTGATTTGGTGATATTCGCCGACACATAACCGATGTCCAAAGCGATCTCATTGCGAGCGTTAATGAACTCCTCGTAGACCTGAATGGTACCATTTATAAGCTTAAATTCAAATGCTAAATTACCATTTTTGTTAGATATATGTAAATTTTATCGCTAACTGAAAAAAACTGGGGTTTTTGGTTGGCTGGGGCTTAGAATTTGGCTTAAAATGGGAGTGACACTTTCCTTTAAGTCCCAGAAAAGTTCAAATACCCTTAGCTAAGCAAATTTCGCTTAGAAAATAGCTTAAAATTAATAGAATTTGATCTTTATCTTTTTAGAATTGTTAATTTTTAAGAAAATCAAACCTTTCGCTCAATTGGTGTCCTTAAATGGCGACAGTAGGCCGCCGACAGATCCTGACGAGGAAGCTGGCTGAGGAGTTGCTTTTCTCTGAAATTTGAATTTAATTTCTTTCATTTTAGGCTTTCTCTACGGTATTGATCAATGTCTAAACATTTAGAGCTCAAGATTTTCGGTTCTTCTTGGAAATTCGGGTCTTTCAATTCAACTATCATAGTCGGTTCAAAGCCAATTCAAAACCAAAGCCAACCAAAGCCAACTAGGGACTTTTCTTGGGATAAACGGTTAAAATAAACATCGCCAATCGATTCTCCGACTCTGAAAACCCTTGGTACAAATTTTCAGCACTAAATCTCATTTGGGAATTATTTACAGAACAAAAGAGAAGTCTTTATAAATGATTGGCGAGATGTTCTTTGTGTGGACACGCAATCGCTCGCGATCTGGCACATGTTCCCGATAGATACCCGTCCGTTTTGGCGCGAGTATCACTTCCCGAAACCTTGATCACAGCTAAAATTTGCCGTATCCAAGCCTTCTTTGTGTGGCGACGCAATCGCTCGCGACCTGGCACACGTTCCCGATAGATAACCGTTCTTTTTTCGGCTGGGTATCAATTTTCGAAACCTTGACTTCAGCTAAAAGTTGCGGCATCCATCACTTCATCTAAAGCTAGGCCATCTAAGGCTGTTTGATGGTTGGCTTATGACCCAATCTAGACAGTAGATGAGATCGGCTATTCAGAATTCGGTCATCTTATTGGATAGTTGGCTTCTGACCTAATCCTGGTAGATGGGATCAAGACGATTCAGAATTCTTCCAGTTTGAACCATTCTGGTCTCTTTGATGAGCTGAATTATGAATAATTCGATCACTTTGCAGTATACAGGTGGCGGGGTGATGACGTCAATGCTATCCAGAATTCAGACATATTTTTGAGTGGCTGGCTTCTGACCCAATCCGGACAGTAGGTTGGCTATTCAGAATTCAGACAATTTGTTGAATAGCTAGCTTGTGGCCCAATCCCGACAGTACCCAGCCCAGCCTGGCCTTAAAAATATCCTTTAAACAACAGGATAAAGAATTAGAAAGAAATGCCCAAATTCCAATATTTTTACTACAAATTCGGCATTTCGCTAAAACAAAACCAGCCTAGATCGATTTCCAACAGTACCTACAGTACCTGTACTTTCCTTTCCTACAGTACCTGTACTTTCCTTTCCTACAGTACCTGTACTTTCCTTTCCTACAGTACCTGTACTTTCCTTTCCTACAGTACCTGTACTTTTCGCCGGCTGAATTCGTGCGCGGAACGACGTGATTCGGCAACTGGGCCATATACTCTTCCACCTAAAGTTTCATGAATAAGCAAGATTTTCCAAAAGAAATCTATTGAACCTATTGAATCTATTGAATCGAATTCGTAAAACGTAAATCACTTTTTATTTGTTATTTTCCTATTTTCTATTATTTTCCACTATTTTCCTACTAAAGTTTGATATCTTTTTGAATCAAATTTTCTTCTAAAACCTTGTCATCAAGATTCACAGCCCATTTCCGATCATTTCTCCAAATCCCAGCCGCTTTTGCCACAAAGCCAAGCATGAATGGATCAGAAAGCATTCCCTCGGAAAACATTGAAGAACATGATGAGGAATATGGAGGCATTTTGATGGGAAATGCTTGAAATGCTTGAAAAAGAATGGTTTAATGATATGATTTAAGAAAATGGAGAATAAAGGCAAGGAAACTGGAGTTCTGTCAGTTCTGTCAGTTCTATCAGCTCTATCAGTTCTATCAGTTCTATCAGAAGTTCTAAAAGTTTAGAATAGAGTTGACTATTGAGAACGAGATAGCGAGATGTAATAGTACCCCACCCCCATAATGACGGTGTGGAGTGTTGCGTAGTCTAGCTTTGAACGAGTTTTTCTCGACACTGCTTTATGCTACAATGTTCGTTTTGGTTTCAAAAAATAGCCCTGAATTTCAGCTATTTTTTGATACCAAAGACGCATTTTTTGAAAGTACGGGCGCTTGGAAAAACAATGAAATACTAAATACTAAAAAACTTTTGCGACTACGCGACTGTACGAGGGCGGTGGGTACTATTACAGTATTTACGGTAAGTTCTTCTCGATATTCTTAAAATTTGAGATCACTATATTCCCTTGAATGGGACTCTGGAGACTCTGCTCGCTTCTTATGTCTTCTTTTGATCCAAAAAGTAAATCCTCTTTGGTTCAGTGGTAGAGCGCTTGCCTGGAAAGTTAGCGGGAAAGAAGAAGGTCGAGGGTCCAATTTCTTTCTTTGCCAATTTCTTTTGAAAAGCAAGAAGCTTGAAGAGTTAAAGGTGGGGTTGACTATCGAGATCTCGATAAGCTTATCGATAATGGCAAAGCTGATTCTCCATCCTTTTAACTGAGGCTTTTTCACGGTAATTCAATATCTCAGGTTTTACGATAAAGATCTTGAAAAACTTATTGAGACCTCGATAAGCTCTCGAGATCTCAATAAGCTCTCGACAAGCTCTTGATAAGCTCTCGAGATCTCGATAAGCTATCGAGATCTCGATAAGCTATCGAGATCTCGATAAGCTCTCAATATCTTTAATATCGATATCTATAAGCTCTCAATAAGCTTTCAATAGTCAAATCTAGTTTAGAAAGTGTTGAAGAGTCCGTAAATTCAAGAATTTTCAATTGAAAATCAGTTCCCAGGCAAAAAAAGTACAAAAGGAAACGATAAACTTGAGAACCCGAAGAGCCTGAAGAGTGAGAACCGGCAATCGGTAATTTCAATGTAACAGATAGCCTAAGATATTCAGTTAAACTAAAAATGTAAAGATATTCAGTCAATAGTCAAATTTAAGCGATCAAGCTCAAGAATTGTGGATCAAGATATTCAGCTGATCGCTTAAGCGCTCAGTGGCAAAGGTTGAAGGAAAAGAACAAGGGAATGATAGCTTTTGAAGGAAGAGAACGAGTTTTTCTCTTGCTGACAGCCCTTTTAATAGACAAATGTCTTTTTTTTTGAAAAGAAAAGGGAAAAAAGAAAGTGGCTGAATAGACAAACCAATGATTTTCATATTGAATGATTGATTTCGTTATTTGAATGGAGAAATTGGAGGGGGATTGGTGAGAATTGGTGAGAATTTATGGCGATTAATAGCTCACTCTTGGTTTAAATGAAAATTGATCTGAAAAGTGAGGAAAGTCAAGGATTTTGAGCTTGATAAATAAAGGCGGGAAAACGGTAGCCTTTCTACTGTAGTTTTAGAGTATAGTAGCCTTTCTAATGTAGTTTTAGAGTACGTTAGCCTTTCTACTGTAGCGTTAGAGTACGGTAGCCTTTCTACAGTCATTTTAGAGTACAGTAGCCCTTCTACTGTAAGTTTAGAGTACAGTGGCCTTTCTACTGTAGTTTTAGAGTACTGTAGCCTTTCTAATGTCATTTTAGAGTACTGTAACCTTTCTACTGTAGATTTAGAGTACGGTAGCCAAAATAGGATATATAGTTTTCCAAAATTTGCCATCTTTCGAAAACTATTGTGATCTACGTAATCTTTTAAAAAAACTACCGTAATCTCGTTGTAAAAAGCTATTTTAATCAGAAATTGCGTGGATAAAAGCCCATAAAATGTGTGATGTTGCAAAGATAAAAAAAAATGATATCAAAAGTAGTTTAGATTGAATAAAACTAGAGTCAAGATTACGGTAGTCGGAAAAGGGACACGTTTTAGAAAAGGGCTTTAGAAAACGGTTTTAGAAAACGGTTTTTTTGAAACAAAGTTACAGTTCACAGAGCAATATACTATTAGGAAAAATACTGGAAAAAAAAACCCTTTTCTGCCAAAACAGTCTGCCAAAACAAACTCATTTCCGGGAAAGCTTAATGATCCTTTTTGCTAAAGCTCAAGCTCTTAATGATCCTTTCCTCTCAAGCTTTCCTCTCATTTCAAATCACTTTCTGAACTCTTTTCCCCCCTAACTCTTTTCTTTCTCCAATTCAAACAATCCGAACAATGAGAAGAATCGTTTTGCAACATTGAAACGATCGTTTCACGTCAGAGAATGGCTCAATTAAAAGGGGGAATGAATGGGGAAAAGAAAGGATCGAAAAGAAAAAGAGAGACGGGAATTTCAATCTTCTTTTTTGGATCTATAGAATACTGGATTTGAAAGCAATAGATCTAAATTTTTGACTTGCTATTGGGTTGGTGAATTGAAAATTGAATTGGTGAATTGAATTAAACTGCGGGCTATTGTCATATGTCAAAATTTGAGCACTTTCTTCAAAAAGAAACCCATTTTGGTGTCAATGGAAAGAAACAAAAAAAAGACTGAAAAAATAAAACACGACGAAAGACTGAAAAATTCTTTGTCGCGGGGTCCTTTTATTGCGTCGGGTTACGGTAGTTTCCGACGTTTGGCGCGGAAACGTCTGAAAGGCAAAGTATACGGTGGACGGTGGGAAAGGCATCCGTCGTCAGAATTTTATTATTTCAAGAAAGAATTCCTTTAAATTGATTTAAAGTAAAATGAAATTAAACACAATTTGTTTAATTACTTTTTAAATTATTTATTATTTATTATTATTTTTAATTTATTGGGTTGGTGAATTGAAAACTGCGGGCTATTGTCATTTGTGACAGTTTGAGCACTTTCTTCAAAAGAAACCCATTTTGGTGTCAATGGAAAAGTTGTAGAGAATCAAAAATGAAGTTTATATCCAAATTTTCAGAACGATTCAAAAACTGGTTTTCAAGAAATGCCAAATTTACGAATTTTCACAAATGAAATGGCGGAAAAGGAGGGAGAGGGGGGGGGGGGTTACGGTATCTGTCTGTCTTTCTGTCTGCCTTACTGTACGGGCATTTTTCCAGCCGTATTTTGACCAATTTTTCATTTTGGTTTTCAAGAAATGCCAAATTTACGAATTTTCACAAAACTTGCATTTTAAGCGAAACTACTAAGTGTATCTTTTTGGAAATTTGGCTATAAGCCTAATTTTTGATTCTCTACAACTTTTCTATTGACACCAAAATGGGTTTCTTTTGAAGAAAGTGCTCAAACTGGGACATTCCTCAAATTTCAAGTCTCCAGTCCTCGATTTTTGAGTCTCACCCTTGTCTCACACACAAACCAAAATCCTACTACGAAAGAGGAATCCGCAAATTGCCTGTAAAATGGGCAGAAGTCGTCAATAATAATGGAAATTATTTGGAATGAAGAAAGAGGGGAAGAGAAATAAAGCAATAGTTTACGAGTTCTGAGCCAGTCAGAAGTCAAGTCTGAAGCCTGCTTGAGCCCCACAACCATTGTCCACAATATCTCTAGGCTGAGTAAGCCAGTAAATATTTAAAAAGTTACAAAAGCTAACTTCAACAAAGCTCAAATCATTGTATGATGAAATTCTAATCAAAAATCTAAACAAATAAGCGGATTATCGAAATCGGAATCGAAAAAAATGATCGCAAGCAACGAAAACTCATTTTTTCTGTGGTTTGCGTTCTCGACTATTTAGAGGCCACAAGGCCGAGAATCGAGCAATCTTTTTGGTAAACAAATGAGAAAAAAAAATGAGCGTTCTTGTTGACTTGTTTCATTTTTTTGGGTATCATTTGAATGAGAATTAAGCTGAAAAGAACACTGTTCTTCTTCATTTTTCTCGATTTTTCCCGATTAGCCAAGACACACGCTTCTTTTCATCAACAATTTTCTAGACACTGTAACTTTAGATACTTTGTGCTTAAATTCACCCCTTCTGGCGCACAAAATTCTTTATTTTTCTTGCAGTAACGATAATGGAGCAGAAAGTCGGGTAGAAAGTGGGGCAGAAAGGGGGGCAGAAAGTCGGGCAAAAAGTGGGGCAGAAAGTCGGGCAGAAAGGGGGGCAGAAAGTCAGGCAGAAAGTAGGGCAGAAAGTAGGGCAGAAAGTGGGGCAGAAAGTCAGGCAGAAAGTGGGGCACATAGTGGGCTTATTATTATTATTGTCACAAGGAAAATGAGGAATCGAGTGGGTCAGAGATTTTTCTTGCAGTAACGGTAGTGGAACGAAAAGTAGGGCAGAAAGTGGAGCAGAAAGTCGGACAGAAAGTCGGGCAGAAAGTGGGCTTAATATTATTATTTTTTCACAAGGAAAATGTGGAATCGAGTGCACCAGAGGATCTTCTTGCAGTAACGATAGTGGGGCGAAAAATGGGGCAGAAAGTGGAGGCGGGCGAAGTGGGGGAGTGGGTGGAGGGGGCGGGGAAACTGGACTTCTTTTTATTATTATTTTCACAAGAAAAATGTGGAATCGAGTGCCCCAGAGATTCTTCTTGCAGTAACGATAGTGGGGCAGAAAATGGGGCAGAAAGTAGAGGGGAGGCGCCGGGGTAGGGGCTGAAAAATGGGGCAGAAAGTGGAGGCGGGCGAAGTGGGGCAGTGGGTGAAGGGGGCGCGCCTCCTCCGCGCCCGGGCGGGGAAACTGGACTTCTTTTTATCATTATTATTATTATTATTCTTATTTTCCCGAGGAAAATCGAGAATCGAGTGGACCAGAGAGGGAGGGGGGCGCAAAGTCCTAAAGAAAACGTCCTAAAGAACAAGTACGGCTAACCTTAATGCAAAATTGTGCCTCAAGGGAAAAAATAAGGAATTAAACGCGCCAGAAAGAGTACAAAGCTGTACATTTACAAAGCACAAAGCACTAAAGAGACTTGAAGACATAGCAAAATGTAAAAAATGTCAAATCTAATGTTTAAAAAAATTTCTTTCCTATTTTTCTAATCAATTTTTTTGATTTCATAAAAATGATCGATTTGACGTGATCGGAATGAGCCTGAATGGAAAAAAATGGTTATTTGTGTCAAATCTCTTCTTTTTAACGTGATTTTGCTGGCTCTGACAGTTTTTTTAAACACTTTTTGCTTTTTGCAAAAAATTTCGCCGTTCACAAAAAGTGAGAGTCAGTCAAAGTCAAGCTAAAGTGTCAACAAGCACTCCCACGGTTATTTTTTTCTTCTTTTGAACTTGAAATTTCTATCTTTTCCTTTTCTAATTGCTTCAAAGTTCAAAACGGGAACGCTAAGTGAAAAATAAACCGAAAATTTCTTTTTTTTTTGAGGCCGAGGTGTCTGGTGGAGGGAGAAAATAAAGCCTCGCCCCATTTCCCGCGAAAATTCTGCTGGAAAAAGTTGTCTGTAGATGTTCTTAAAGTTTTTATGGATGCTTTTTTGAATCAAGGAATTGATTATAAATTTGAAGGCATTAGAAATTGATGATGAATGGAAACGATGAATGAAATAAGGAACCGAATTTAGAGAGATGTCAGCTCCGAGCCAAACTGATATTTTAGTTACTATTGTTATTATTGAATGATTTGTCTATTCTTATGCAAATGTGTTCTCCCCTGTGCTTATCCCTTTTATTGCCGAGAAGGGGCGGTCCTTGGGACTGCCTAGGAGGACAAGTGAGGAGCCTAGAAGGACAAGTGAGGAGCCTAGAAGGACAGTGAGGAGCCTAGGAGGACAGTGAGGAGCCTAGGAGGACAGTGAGGAGCCTAGGAGGACAGTGAGGAGCCTAGGAGGACAAGTGAGGAGCCTAGAAGGACAGTGAGGAGCCTAGGAGGACAGTGAGGAGCCTAGGAGGACAAGTGAGGAGCCTAGAAGGACAGTGAGGAGCCTAGGAGGACAAATGAGACTCTCATTAGGAGTCCCCCTTCCCCTTACACTTATTTGTAATCTATTCATCTTATTGTATTACTGTAAATAAAGATACGTATCTTCCGGGTCTATGCAACTGCAGTACAGGTCGGTCGGTCATTTCACAGGGACTCCCCTCTAATACGTTGGAGGAGTTGAGTTGGGTCGTCGGTGTGTTAGAGATGGCGGGATATCAAAAAGGGATCCACTCTTTTTAACTTAACCCAAATTCTAGTCCACATCCGTTTATACCTAGGAACGTATAGAGATAAGGAACCAAATTTAGAGAGATAAGGAACCGAATTTGGAGAGATCAAGAACCGATAATAATGAATTGGAAACGATGAAACGAATTGGTGAATCTTGAGGACACGATTTTTTAAATATTAGGTACACTACTGGACAATGAAGTATCATATTGAAATATCATGTTTGAAAAACGATCGTCACTTTCGCGCGTCTGTAACTCCCTTGTCTTTACCGTATTTCTCAATATTAATATTACCATTGTGTAGCCCTTGAAAAGAGCTTTCAGAAAATGTATAACACTAATTGTTTAAACTCAAAGACAACGGAGTTACAGACGCGCGAAAGTGACGATCGTTTTTCAAATATGATATTTCATTGTCCAGTAGTGTACATGCATAGGAAATGCGAATTTCAACATTTCAACATTTTCATAAATTTCCAACGATAGAATGATATCGATAACCTGATATCGATAACCTGATATCGATAACCTGATATCGATAACCTGATATCGATAACCTGATATCGATGAATGTTATAAACTATTTGAAAGTTGTAAATCTCCTCTACAAAATTGACTAAAACGTGTTTCAATTGATCGAAGCATTGAAGAAATTTCGAGGGCGAGATGCGAGTGACCAAAAAAGGAATCGAGTCACTTTAGGGACAAGTTTAGTGTCGTCAAAATAGAGTTAGCTTCCCAAAATTGAAGATTTTAAAAAAAAATAGCCAAAAAAATAGCCACAGTCAAAACCGAACTCTTTTGAAAGCGGTGAAAGTGGGGTTTTCAAAAAGTGCCCTTTTTTGGTCACTCGCATTTCGCCCTCGAAATTTGTATAAATTTCTTCAATGCTTCGATCAATTGAAACACGTTTTATTCAATTTTGTAGAGGAGATTTGTAACTTTCAAATAGTTTATAACATTCATTTATATTCGAACAAAATAAAGCCAACCTTCTTGCGGGTGAGCCCTGGAGGCACCCAGGCGTATCCATGAGCCACCGAGCCGGGCGCATCCGTTTTTGCCGCCCCTCCGAGTGGCATATCTGCTAGAAATTGTTAAAATTACCATATAACTATATGTTTATATAACTAAACTATTAAAATAAGGATTCTATAACAACAATAATTCTATAACTATAATTCTATAACTATAATTCTATAACAACAATAATTCTATGACGGGGTGGAAAACGGATCATTCCTCATCCCTGGACTCAGGGTTTTCTAGTTCTAGGTTTTCTAGTTCTAGACTCAGTTCTTTGTACTAGAATTGGGGATTTTCGAGCATTTTCTTTTGAATTCTTGAATTGATCTAATAACTAAGCATAGAAAAAACAGAAAAACAATAATTCTACAGATTTTTAGCTAAAAACTAATAATTTTAAATTATTAGGATTGCTACAGTACAGATTATAAAACAGTACAGATTTTCTCTACTTACACTCCATTCTCAGCTTTGCAAAAGCGGCTAAAACATGTGGATAAATCAATTGACTTATTAATTTTATTATGATAATAGTTACGGTAATAGTTACTTATATTGGGTTGATGCATAATTATCCGGACTTCTTTTATAAATGATTTTATTTAACAAAAAATAACATAAATAGTTAGAAAAATATGTTTAATTGATTATTCTGGAGCATATTCACCGCCTACATCAATAACTGATTGCCATTTGCTTGGAAGACGATCGATTCCACGAGCGAAGAATAAACGATCTTTGGAGGCAATCCACGCTTTAACATCGTCTATCAAGTCATCCAAATCGTTGTAGATCTTATTTGTTTGCCAATTTTTGAGCGATCGATTGACGTGGTAGTCCGTTGGGGCTTCTCCAGTTCTTTGAGATCGCGAAACGACTCTGCGGCAGACCATCCCTTTTCGAAGTGGTAGAGCATGATATGGCGAAGATGGATATGATTGTCGACACGCATTTTGTTCACAAAGAAACGAATATTTAAAAAAAAAAAGACAAAAGCTTTCAAAACAAAAAGCGCGCAAAAGAGCCGGATAATTATGCATCAACCCAATATTATTGGTAACTAGAGTCGACTCTCTCTATAACAGAACTCTATATAGCGGAAAGCTCTAGCTCGCAAAAAAAATTTTGGGTCGAGTAACTACGAGTAATCCTCTTTACACGCCGAGTAACTACGAGTAATCCTCTTTACACGTCGAGTAAATTGAATATCTTTTTACCTTTAAAGGGAATTTGTCACCAAATCATTTGAACGGTTGAATATCTTGAGTAGAAATCGTATATAAGGCGGCACCCGTGATTTTTGCACCAATTCTTTTGCAATAATTTTCGCTAGAAGTACAATAATTCTTCCTAAGCGGGCGTTTACGTAAAAAAAGGCATTACTTGCGAGGAAAACACTCTAATTATTACCATACAAGGTGCTGGCAAAGCTGTGCTTAGGCTTAGGCTTAGGCTTAGGCTAAGGCTAAGGCTAAGGCTTAGGCTTAGGCTCAGGCGCAGGCTCAGGCTTAGGCGCAGGCTTAGGCTTAGGCTTAGGCTTAGGCTTAGGCTCAGGCGCAGGCTCAGGCTTAGGCTTAGGCTTAGGCTTAGAGGCAATGCTTAAAGCTGAGAGCTTAGAGGAATACTTAGAGCTTAGAGGCAAGGCTTAGAGCTTAGAGGAATGCTTAGAGCTTAGAGGCAAGGCTTAGAGCTTAGAGGTAATGCTTAGAGCAAAACGCCACCTATAAAGCTCTGGAGCTTGCGGGAAAAAGAAGATTTTGACGATATTTGCCTCCACCGTTCTCAACAAAGCAAGGTAACGAATTTGCCAGTTTTGTAAAGGTTTAGTTTAACAAAATTGGTAGAATTGCATTGTTTTTATTATTAGAATAGTTTTTTATTTTAAAAAATTCACCAGGCGGCTTGACACCGAGACGATCGTAGACGGAAAGCACTTGATTTGGAGCAACTTCGTGATCCACCCGATCACACCGACAGTGAACGCAAACTTTTCTGAAGAAATTTAACGATAAAATGACTTCAAATAGATTTTGTTGCTATATTATATAATTCTTAACTAAGTTACCAGTAAAAATTTTGAAATTTAGAACAAAATTGGACAAGTTTTCAAGCAAAAGACTGCAATGATCGCCTCGTACTTTGTGCTCTCACAAATCGACCCTTTCTAGCAAACTCAACTCCCCCATTTTCTTATTTTCTAGCAAGGAAAGAAGTGAGAATTTGAGTGTGCCAGAAAGTGCGGGTTTATGTAGCACAAAGTACAAATTAGAAAGATTAGATTAAGGCAGGAATCAAACGGTGAATTGAATCGAAAAAAGAACTAAATCAGAGAAAATCTGAAGGAAAGATGAAATTATTTCTTCAAATTATCCACTATAAAGATGATCGTTGTTTTTCTGTCGATGAAACAGCTCAAAAGTGAGCCATGAACTTAAAAACTTCAAAAGAAGATCAAAGAAACGAAGCTCTTTCTTTGTCTTTTCGAAAAGAGTTGGACTTTTCCTTTTTCTTGACTCAATTGGTCCCCTGAGATTTCCGCCTTTTCTTGGAATGTCTTTCTGTCTTTAAATTGACATGGAAAAGTTGAAATCTTTCCTAACATCGGGATTTGGCTGGAGTTGAGGAATCTTATCCTAGAGTTGAGGAGTCCTATCCTGGAGCTGAGGAATCTTATCCCGGAGTTGAGGAATCTTATCCTAGAGTTGAGGAATCTAGAGCTGAGGCATCTTATCCTAGAGCTGAGGAATCTTATCCTGGAGTTGAGGAATCTTATCCTGGAGCTGAGGAATCTAGAGCTGAGGAATCTTATCCTGGAGCTGAGGAATCTAGAGCTGAGGAATCTTATCCTGGAGCTGAGGAATCTAGAGCTGAGGAATCTTATCCTGGAGCTGAGGAATCTAGAGCTGAGGAATCTTATCCTGGAGCTGAGGAATCTAGAGTTGAGGAATCTTATCCTGGAGTTGAGGAATCTTATCCTGGAGCTGAGGAATCTAGAGCTGAGGAATCTTATCCTGGAGCTGAGGAATCTAGAGCTGAGGAATCTTATCCTGGAGCTGAGGAATCTAGAGCTGAGGAATCTTATCCTGGAGCTGAGGAATCTAGAGTTGAGGAATCTTATCCTGGAGTTGAGGAATCTTATCCTTAAACTTATCCTGTAATCTTTAAGTTTTAGGCTAACTTTGATGAGGATTGCGTATTCAAACCAGGCTAACAGGTCTAGAATTTTGAATTGAGATAAAGACTTGGCATAAAGACTTGAGATAAGTTCATCTTATAGAGTCTATAAGCATCTTGCATCCATTTTTAGTTTTTTCAACACTCAGCTTCTTGCTAATGAAAAAATCTTTAAAACAAAGCTTTTCAGAAACATTTAAAAGTCATTTGCAAGAGAAATGATTTGGCTCGAACTCGAGGAGGGAAAGGTAAAAGGTTCGGTAGTTCGATAGTTCGATAGTCTAACAGATTATCCACTAGATCATCGAAACAGTTGTTAAAGTGCTCCTGCAGTGCTCCTGCAGTGCTCCTGCATGTGATAGCCAAATAAGGCTGTTCGAAATTCAAAATAATCTTAATTTTACGACGATTCAAGACACCAAAAAGACAAGACATCAAAAATTTGATCGTCTAGACTCGAGAAAGGCTTAATTTTGTGTATTCAATAAATCAAAACAATCCCCAAAAAGGAATCAAGATGATTCAAGATGATTTTCTATGTCAAATAGATTCTCTATGTCAAATATCTCGCGTTTGCAAAGCATTCTGCAGAAACTAAAAACGGATTTGTGATCCCCATGGCCGATTCTATAAGATGGACTTGGTTTTGAGTCAGCTTTAGAGACAAAAAGGTCAGCGGTATCTTTTCTTGTAAAAAAACATAACCCAATGAATCAAATAGGCAAATCAATGAGGAGGATTGGGTAAAGAAACGATCCTCAAATCAGCAACAAACTCACAATCTCTGCAAAAGTCTAGCAAAGCGTCCATGTCGATGATCGCTTTGCGAGGATGAGGGCCGAATTGGGCCATGTTGCACGATTTTCTGCGCCAAGTCATGGTGCTCCCATGGATGCCTTCGCATTTCGAATTGCGTAATTGAATCGGGTTTTTCAATACTTGAATTACCCAGTAGTTGATAAGACTTCAAAAGAAGTGATTAGCTAGCTAGAGCTGGTTTAATGATTAGCTAGCTAGAGCTGCTTTAGTGATAGCTGAAGCTTGCAATTAGGTAATTGAACCAATTTTCTGTAGTAAATTTTGGATTAAAGCTGGTCAGGCTTGGAATAGATTCAGTTGAAAACAAATCTCCTTTTCAACGCTTTCTATTGGGTTAATGGTTCATTCCTGGAGCTAGAAACGGCTTAGAATAAACGGCTTCGAATAAAAGTTGAAGTTTCAACGATTCCTGTTGGGTAATTGAGCCAGTTCCAAGCTCAAGAGATCTAGCTGAATATCTTCAATTGATTAGCTGAATATTTTCAATTGATTAGCTGAAGATCTTCAATTGATTAGCTGAATATCTTCAAAGAATATCTTTCTCATTAGTTGAATATCTTTATCTTTATCCAAATATTAGTATTTTCTTGTAAAAGCGTTTTTTGGTCTCAGCGAAAAATCGAATTTCGTCGCGGAAAGGGGGAATAGAGGCGAAAATTTGGATTTTCCTGGATCAGTTACAAAATCTCGTGCCAATGAATGTAAATCTTTCAAAAGCTCACAAATTTTACTGCTAATTAGTGGAGAAAGAGTTGCAGATGGGTTTCGATTTTTTCGATTCAGTTGGGGTAATTAAACCGGATTGGTTTAGGCTAGAAAAGCTAGAATTAATTGAATTATTGAACCAGAGTCCAAGTAACAGTTGAAAGAGAAAAACAACCGATTGGCATCGAGAATTTGGTGAGAATTTGGGTAATTGAGCTGGTGATTGAGCTGGTAATTGTGTAGTTGAGCTGGTAATTGTGTAAGTGAACTGGTAATTGTGTAGTTGAGTTGGCAATTGTGTAGTTGAGCTGGCAATTGCGTAATTGAACCACTTGAATAGGAAGGAATAAAGCACGCAAGAATTGCGTAACTGAACCGCTTGTAATAACTAGCTTGTTACGGTTGGTTGAGTTGAAGAATTGGGCTAGTGAGCTGGGTAACCGGCTGGGTAATCAGCTGGGGAATCGGCTGGGGAATCGGCTGGGTAATCGGCTGGGTAAGTGGCTGGGTAATCGGCTGAGTAATCAGCTGGGGAATCAGCTGGGGAATCGGCTGGGTAACCGGCTGGGGAATCGGCTGGGGAATCAGCTGGGTAATCAGCTGGGTAATCAGCTGGGTAACCGGCTGAGTAATCAGCTGGGTAATCGGCTGGGTAATCGGCTGGGTAATCGGCTGGGTAACCGGCTGGGTGATCAGCTGGGTTTAGAAGAGTTCAGCTGGGTAATCAGCTGGGTTTAGAAGAGTTGAATAGATTGAGGAAGCAGTTGAATTTAGCTCAAGTAACAGCTTGACCCAATAGCAAATCCAATAGAAACTTTAGTTCAGTTGAGTAATTGAACCAAAGCACTCGAGAATTCTCAAGAACTACTCAACAACAGGTTACAAGACCCAAGAGATTGATGATTGATCAAACGAAAGCATCAACAAAACGCGGAAAAGCTTAGCTCTAGCTGATCGTTCGATATCACTTTGTGGGCCCTCTTTTTGATCTCTTTTTGATCGCTCTTGGCTCTACTTTCCCCTCAAATCCGACTGAGCAACTGAACCGAAAAGATTCCCGGCTGTTTTCCGCCCTTTTTCTTTATATCTTTCTGTTTCTTTTATCCTTTTGGCTTTTATCCTTTTGACCATTTTCTTTTTTCTCTTTTTCCCTTTTTCTCCTCTTTTCTTTAACACATTTTCGAAAAGAAAACTATAATTTAAGAATTTTTTTGGCAAGTCGCGTAGTCGTTACTATTTTAACGATAATTTGGTGGTCAAAATGAGAACCCAAGTTCTCATTTTGATTTCAAAATAATAAAAAAGTTCTTAAGCTTATGATTCGAACTAAAAATACTTTTAAAAAATGGGCATTATAAATGAAATTTGATCCAAAAAGCTAAAAAAAGGTGGTGTTCTCAATATGGACTAAAGGAGAACGGATATGGGAATAGTAGTGAAGAGTATTGAATGGTGTTGAATAGTAGAATAGTATTGAATAGTACGAGATTCCAAGTTCAGGCCTGGAGCTAGTAGATGGACTGGCTTACAGCTCCAAGACTGACAGGTCCAAGACTTACAGGCCTGCTTCCAGGTCCAAGACTGACAGCTCCAAGACTGACAGGTCCAAGACTTACAGGCCTGCTTCTGGGTCCAAGACTGACAGGTCCAAGACTGACAGGTCCAAGACTTACAGGCCTGCTTCCAGGTCCAAGACTTACAGGTCTAAGACTGACAGCTCCAAGACTGATAGGTCAAAGACTGACAGGTCAAAGGCTGACAGGTCCAAGACTTACAGGCCTGCTTGCAGGTCCAAGACCTACAGGTCCAAGACTGACAGGTCCAAGACTTCCAGGCCTGCTTCTGGGTCTAAGACTGACAGGTCCAAGACTGACAGGTCCAGCCAGGCTTACTAGTCTTACAGGCCCTAAGGCTAGGCTTGGTCCTATAGGGCATAAGCTTACAGATCTAAGTCTAGGTACCAGGCTACAAATCCTATGCTTATCCGATTACGGTAATATATAGTTCTGTACAAACCACTTTTCCCTTGAAGATCCTTTTCCCTCACTATCCCTTTCTAACGCTTTCTCGCTTGCCGGGGAAAAATCTCCCTGTGGCTGAGTGGTAGTGCTCTTGGTTACAAAGTCTTTGCCCCGGGCGTTTCTGCGAGTTCGACTCCCTTCTCGACAGTAATTTTTCATTTTCAAACTTCTTTTGACCTGTTTTTCCAATGGGAAATGTTTTTTATTTGATATAGAATTTGCTTTTATATGGAATTACATATCAAACGACAATCAAGAAAAAGAATAGTTATTAAGTTGACAACCTTCAGTGAATCTACTAGAATATGTTATGGTTGTATTCCCGGAAAGTTGTATAATCTGGGAAAACTTGGGAATTCCCCCACAAAAAATCAGTTCAATTCTGTTCCACACAACTGCACAACGGACTAGATTTGGCTCTTTTTACACCAAAATGCTTTTCGAGATCTTTTTTTTTCCTTCCGAAACTCTTGAAGGCTTTACGACAGCGTTTCCGGCATCAGATGGGGTCTTCAATTGAAAAAAGAGGAAAAACTTGAAGAATTGCGTCAGTGAGAAGTGGGGAAAGATAAAGAAAAGATAATAAAGCAGACCATATATAGAAAAGATAATAAAGCAGACCGTAGTGTTTGTCAATCTTTTAATGTTTTCATAGCAAAGAAAACTTCTTTCATTGAATCGAATTGAATTGAATTTGAATTGAATTGAAAAAAGCAAAACGGATCCGTCGCCTGGACTCGAACCCATGACCCCAGCGTCTGGAGGCCGGCTCGCTATCCCCTCGGCCCCACCCGCTACTGGACGAGCTTTTCATACACAAGGACGGATGAACAGACAGATCTCAATTATCTTCTAGACATGGTTTTTTGATCAGATCGGATCAGGCTAGCCCGATCGGTTGGACGGATCGGATTGGATCGGATTGGGCTAGCCAGCTCGGTCAGACCTATTGGATCGGATTGGATCGGGTTAGCCAGATCAGTCAGATCTATCGGATCGGATTGGATTGGATTGGATCAGTCCTGATCCGATCCTATCCGATCCAATCCGATCCGATCCAATCCGACAGCCCGATCTGATCCGATCCGATAACCATGTCTAGTAGATGCCATCTTAGATTCAGATTTCAGCTAAAAGACTTTAAACTTATTCAGACTTTAGACTAGAACATAAATATTATCTTTAGATTTTGGAGTCACGGCGAGCTCACTCTAGAGTAAAAACGTAGTATTTATAGTAACTCAGGCCTTATCATAGCTATATAGCATAGCTAAGATAGCTTATCAAGTTGAACACAGCTATAAGCTATAATCTTTCGTTTTCTTCTTGACTTAACTTGTAAACTTGTAAACGAGTTTTCTTGGTGCTAAACTTTACTCTAACATCTTTACTCTAAAATCTTTCCTTTAAAATCTTTTTACTAGAAATCCCCAGCTTCCCGAGCAAATCCCTCTCTAAAGCTGAAACCGATATGTGTTTAGTGAGGAATGGTGTGAGAATGAAATGATAAAAGGGACGAATCTTGGTGGATAAAGATCTAGTGAAACCCTAGACGCCAGGATCCAGGCTACACTAGTCAAAGGGTCACCCTCAAGTCCTTAGTTTTCTTTAATGGATGAGAATCAAGTTCTAAGAGCACTTAGTGCTGCAAGCACTTAGCTTTAAGACTAAATGAACTTTGTATTGACTTTGTAGTTTAAAATATCTACTTTGTAGTTTAAAAAGTCTACTTTTCTAATCAAAACTCGAAAAGCTAGAATCATGGCTGATTTCTACAATCATGGCTGAAGTTAGCAAAGAGTAGACGCGAGTTTAAGGCTTAATTTCTTGTGTGAATGATTTATATGATATTATATGATAATTATCAATGCTAAATTTAAGATTCTATAATATTCTGCCTTTTCTATATGATTTTGAGTTTTCTTTTGCACTTTCATGATTGAAAAATTGATGAAAAATTGATGAAAATTGATGAAAAAAGCTGAGGAAAAAGCGAAAATCGAAAAAAATGTGCTCATAAACGAATTTTGCCCAAGCGGACCTCGAGATTTTGTCTTTTTTTGCCCCAATCTAAGTCCCATTTGAAATTGAGATTGAAATTGAGGACAAAATGGGAATAAAATGGAGAGAAAATGGAATAGAATGGAAATCAAATAGAAACTAAATGAAAATTTGAACTTTCTGTTTCAGTTTCAGGGAAACTGGTGAGATTACAGTCGCTTCAAAAGTTGTCAACCTTAGAAATCCCCTCGGAACTTTCGCTCGTGGCTTCGGATCCACAATTTTGTTGCTTTTTATTGTAAACAAGATGTTTTTCTAGTAATTTGAAGGTTTCTCTAGTAATTTAATGGTTTTTCTA